TTCCCTTTCCCTTTCTTTCCCTTTCCTTTCCCTGTTTTTTCCCTTGCTCTTTGCTTTCCCTTTCCCTTCTTTTCCCTTTCCCTTTCCCTTTCCCTTATTTTCCCTTCCCTTTCCCTTTCCTTCCCTTTCCCTTTCCTTTTCCCTTCCTTTCTCCTCCCTCCTTCCTTTCTTCTTCTCTCCCTCCCTCCCTCCCTCCTTTATTTCTTCTTCCTTCCCTTCCACTTTCCTTTCCTTTTCCTTTTCCCCTTCCCCTTCTTTACTTTTCTTTTTTAAGATTTGTATTGCTTTCAATCTTTTGAAAATTTCTTTAGTAACAGTTACATATGTGTATGTGTTCCTTGATCTATAAGTCTGCTCATTTGCGGCTTTGAATAAAACCGTTCAGTTTTCAGCTTTCAGACGTGTCTATTGAAAGTAATTGGCCGTTGACAGGTGAGGGAGGGCCTGTGGAGGAGTCAGGGGTGTGAAAGAGGCATGGGGAGGGTCAGAGAGGATATTTAAGATATTAAGGTATTTAAGATGCATGAATGGTGAGGGAGGCAAGGTTTGGGGAGGGTGCATGGATGAGGTGATTCAGTGACTTCTAACCCTCCCTGCAGGCTTCCCCATTGACTTTCTAGGGAAGCCATCAGGGACGATTGCAAATACTGGTCACATGATCACAGAGCGTTGCAATTAGTCATAAATGCAAACTGATTGCCAAATGCCCATATTGTAGTCATGTGACTGTCTATCTGCTAGGACAACTTCAAGGACTTGTTGTAAGTACAATTCACTCAGCAGCATCGTACCTTGGAACGGTTGCTGAACAAATGGTTAAATCAAGTATTATGTATATTCAGGATTGTCTGGCCAACAAGGAGCAAATCCTGAGAGCCAATTTTATATTCGGCAACAGTATGAATAGTTTTCTTTTATGCTTGTGTATCAGAGTCCCTAAAGAGATGCATGGTGTCCTTCTATGATTTAAAAAAAAAAACTCATCTCCCACCATTTAGAAAAAAATTTCACATCCAGTTTAAAAAGTCTCTCTCAAGCGGAGCTCTAGGTACAGGTGGTCCTTGACTTAACTCCCACAATTGAGGCCAAAATTTCTGTTGCCAAGCCAAGCAAGACAATTTTTAAACGAGTTTTGCCCCATTTTACAACCTTTCTGGGCACAGTTGTGAAGTGAACCAATGCACTTGTTAAGTTAGAATACGGTTGTTAAGTGAATCTGGCTTCCCCATTGACTTTGCTTGTCACTGGTCACAAAAAGGGATCACGTGGCACTGGTACACTGAAACTGCCATAAATATGAGCCAGTTGCCTAGCGCCCAAATTTTGATTATGTGGGGAGGGCGGAGCTGGCGTCGCGACGATACGGCATGCGATCTTGGAGATCTGAGATCGCAGCTGATATCTTTGCTCCTGGACGGTCCAAGTGGATCTAAAACGTCCCGAAGAGATGGTGAATGTAAAGAGTGCATCCTGTCGATCCCAGGGATACCGCAAAGTCCCTGGTAGATCCAGGAGAAGCTCTTTTTGCCAGCGGCAAAGAGGCAGCCATTAAAGCTGCTGAAGTTGGGACAGCTCCGAAACGGAAGAGAACGGAAAGAGAGAGTGTGTGAGAACTTTTTCTTTATTTTAAGACTTGAAAGGACACCCTAAGGGAAAGAAAGAATCTGTAAAAGTTTTGACAGAAGTGATTAAGCGGCGATTTTAAACAGGAATGTCAAAGTAATATTTTTTTTCTCATTGCTGGATTTTCTACACATGATCTTATATTTTGAAACTGGACTGGTTCTTTTCTTCTTTTTATATATTCTTCTCTCCTTTTTGATTTTATAATATTTTAAGCCAGAGACTCCCTTTTAGTTATTTTTAAAAATCTTTTTCTTTTTTTAAAAAATTAATTCTTATTATATTTTGCTTGGAAAAGGAGGGGGAAAGTGAAAGCTAAAGAAACTTTGTAACACTGCCAACTAGAGGCTTGGAAATATTCTATTTTTCTTTTGACCAGACAAAGCTGAGAAAGAACTGAGACTTTGTTTCAAGGACATTGCCTGCTTGATAAGCTAAGAGGGAAGAGCACGGGAGAGTATTATTACAGGTGCTCTTCTGGGTTTCTATCAACAGCTGGAGTCTGGTGTTGAAGCTTAGGAAAAGAAAAGGTGATAAGTCTCTGGAGAAGAGCCTTGGATAATCGAACAAAGTGCAGTGTGTTCTTTTTATTCTTTTTAAACTTTGCTACCCCTCCTCATCAGTTTACTTTTTTTTTTTGCAATAGCTATTTGGATTTTTGGCTCTCTGGAACTTGTCTTTGTTTTTTGTTTTTTCTTGTCTTTGGAAGTTAAATTTCTACGTCTGCTTTTTATTTTAAAGGAAAAGCTTTAGTATTAATGCTTCCCTTCCTTTTCTTTTTAAGGGAGTGGCCTTTTTCTTCTCTTTCCCTTCCTGGTATTTTTGACTTTCCATCTACCTTCCATATTGGGTTTTTTTTTCTTTTTCTTTTTTTCTTTTTGGTATATTTTTATGCATACTTTTATATTTGAGATCTCTTAATTGGATTAAGGTGTTGAAGAACCTGAAGAATTTTTCCTTTTTTTTTTTTAGCCTTTTTCTTCACTTTTTTGCCTTTTTTAGGATTTTACAACTTTTTCTTTTGTGTGTGTTCATGGTGTGTTCATGGTCTTTTCCTTCATTTTTGAATTTTTACTGTCATCTAACTAACTGATTGGATTAAAGTATACAAGAACCTGAAGAAATTTTTTCTTCTTTTTCTATTATTATTACTATTTGGCTACTCTTTTCTTACTATTCTCCTACTTTTTTCCTACTATTTTTATTTGGAACTGCAATTGGTTATTTTACAACTGGATTAAGGTCTAGAAGAACCTGAAGATTTTGAACTCCTCAAAATGAGTAGGAAATTAACAGCTCCTGGTTCAAGAAAAAGTGACCCAGCAGAACAAGAAAAAGTGACCCTGCAGATGATTATGCAAGGAATTCAAAATATTCAAACAAGATCAGAGAATATTGAAAAGAGAATAGAGAACATTGAACAAAGAACAGAGAACATTGAACAAAGAACAGGGAAAACCGATGAAAAAGTGGAGAACATCCAACAAATGATGATGAAGTATGATGAGAGACTCCAAAAAATTGAAGAAGAAGATAAACAAAGAGACAAGAAGATTGGAGACATTGATAACAGATTAACTGTGGTTGAACAAGATAAAAGTGGTATGCTGAGATGGGAGATGGACAGATAAGAATTTTATCTTAGATTCCAAAACATAGAGGAAGAAAAAGGACAAAATCTAGCTGAGATAATGATAGAAATATTGGCTGAAGCTTTGGAAATAACTGAAGAGAAGATGATGGATGGAATAGGTGAGGTTTATCAAGTCTTCACAAGATATGCAATGAGAAATAGCTTACCAAGAGAAGTTCACATCAGATTTACAAAGAAAGCCATTAAAATGCAAATATTGCAAGTGGCAAGAGAGAAAACATTGAAATATAAAGATAAGGAGATTGTGGTCTTGAAACAAGTACCCTGAAGAGTGAGAGAGATGAGAAGGGAATACCAATTCTTGACCAAATTATTACTTAAAAAAGAGGTGAATTATAGATGGCTGATTCCAGAAGGTTTAATGTTTACATGGCAAGAACAGAGATATAGAATTGACTCAATTGAGAAAGCTGAATCATTTTACACAGAATTTTTCAGAGGGGAGGAAGAGGCAGAAAAAGAAATTTCACTAATTGAATTCCAAGAGGACTCCCAAATGACGACTGAAAAAGAAAAAGGTGCAGTAGGTGGAAAGGAGGAAGCCAAAGAAAAACGTGAACCAAGATCCACGAGAGCTGTCAAACCTAATTACAAAATATAACCATGGAAGAGAAAAAATTGATTGCAATGAATATAAATGGACTTAACTCAGCCGTTAAAAGAAGGAAAATCTTTCATAAATTAGAGAAATTAAAAATTGATATAATCTGCCTACAAGAAGTACATATTAAAAAACAATATGAGCAATTGTTTATACAGCCAAAATTAGGGAAAATATTCACTTCCTTGACACAATGTAAGAAAAGAGGAGTGGTTTTATATATTTAAGAGACCATCTCAGCGAAATTGATTTATACTGATGACGATGGAAGAATATTAATGGTGGAAATAATGGACAATAATACGAAAACACTCCTGATTGCAATTTATGCCCCGAATGACAAACAAGAAGAATTCTATAAAATATTACATATGAAAATAGTTGAACTGGACTATGTTAATATAGTTATGATGGGAGATTTTAATGGAATTGTAGACAATAAACTGGACTACACAGCACAGAAACAATAAAGCAAAATAGAAAGACTCTCCCTAAATCTTTTTTTAAAATGGTAGATGAAATAAACTTAAAAGATACATGGAGAGAAAGAAACGCTAAAACTAAACAATACACCTTCTACTCAAATAGACACTTATCATGGTCCAGAATAGATAGGATATGGATGTCAACAGAATTGTTAACTAATATTCAAGAAATAAATATTGAAACAAGTACTTGGGCAGATCACAATCCAATGACAATTAAATGGAAAGGACAAAGAAGAAGATCTAGATGGACGTTAAATAATACTATTTTAAAGGGAAAAGACTTCACAAAGTGGATGGAGAAAGAATTGGCCTTTTTCTTTGGAGAAAACAAAAAAGAAGATACATCAATCCAGAATGTATGGGATACAATGAAGGCACATGCCAGAGCCTTGATAATAGACTATACAAGGAAAAGAAATACCATGAAAAGATTAGCCTCTAAGGCATTAGAAGATGAGTATAAAGGACTCGAAAAAGAGCTACAGAAAATGCCACAGAGAAAGGACATTAAGTTAAAAATGGACATAACCAAACATAAAATGGGTCTAATAGAAAAAGAAGAATTAGCACAAAAAATTAGAGGTGCCAAACAGAACTATTTTGAAGATGCAAATAAACCAGGTAGATGGTTAGCATATAAATTGAGAAAGGAGAAAGAATCAAGGAAAATATCCCAATTAATAGATGACCAAGGCCAAGTTTGCTATGGTAGTAAAGAGAAGAAGGAAATTATTCGAGATTATTATGGGAAACTATACACACAAGAGAATATTGATGAGGAAAGAGTTAAACAGAATGCTAATTTACCCCAGATACCTAAAGAGATTGAAACAATGTTAGAAAGCAATATAACGATGATGGAGTTAACTGAAGCACTTAAGAAACAAAATAATGAAAAGGCACCAGGCCCAGATGGACTTCCGGCAGAATTTTACAAAACATTACAAGAATCATTGAATTTTCCACTGCTAGACGTTATGAATGAAGTTATGTTAAAGAAGAGGATACCTAAATCATGGTCAGAAGCTTATATCACACTTGTTTCAAAAGAGGAGACCGATCCATTACAAATCAAGAACTATAGACCTATCTCCGTACTAAACGCAGATTATAAAATCTTTTCTTCAATATTGGCAGAAAGACTTAAAAATATTTAAATAATTTTATCCATCCTGACCAAAATGGATTTCTGCCAAAGAGACAAATCAAAGACAATATGAGAGTAATCTTGGACACTTTGGAATACTACGAGGCACATCCCGAAAAACAAATGGCTTTGATATTTCTAGATGCATAGAAGGCATTTGATAATGTGAATAGGCGATTCATGTTATTACTGCTGGAACAGATGGGCTTGGCTAGAAAATTTATTCAAGCAATAGAAGCTATATATCATAAGCAGACGGCAAAGGTAATGATAGAGGGAGAACTGACAGAATCTATCGATATAAGAAAAGGAACAAGACAAAGGTGCCCATTATCACCTCTGTTGTTTGTGTTAACTTTGGAAGTGCTAAACAGAAGTATTACAGATGAAAAGAATATAAAAGGGATGAAAATAAAAAAGGAAGAATTTAAGTTGCAAGCATTTGCAGATGATCTGGTTTTTATCTTAGAAAACCCACTAGAAACAGCATCAAAATTGATAGAAAAGATGGAGACATATGGAAAGGTGGCTGGTTTGAAAATAAATAAAGATAAGACAAAGATCTTGACAAAGAATATGCTATCAAGACAAAAGGAAGAATTGGCAGACCTATTGAAAATTCAGGTCACGAATAAGATCAAGTATTTTGGGATATACTTGACAGCAAGATGCAGTACACTAAAAGAGAATAATTATATCAAACTTAACAGCAGATAGCGCTAGATTTGGCGAAATGGGAAAATTTACAACTGTCATTAATAGGTAGAATATCAACAATCAAGATGAATATATTACCCAGAATTTTATATTTGTTCCAAACAATTCCAATTAGGCTTGGAAAAGACTACTTTGAAGATTTAAATAAAATTGTGTTGAAATATATATGGCAAGGTAAGAAAGCGAGAATAAAGTTAAAACCTTTGCAAGATGCTAGAATAAGAGGAGGATTTGGTTTGCCTAATTGGGAGTTGTATTACCAAGCTACAAATTTGATGTGGGTTAAGGAATGGATAACATTAAGAAATACTAGATTGTTGACATTAGAAGGACATGACCTGTTGTTGGGGTGGCATGCTTTTTATGGTATAAAGGAACTAAAACACAGGGGTACTTTAGAAGACATTATATACGGGAGTCTCTGTGGTTAAATTGGGAGAAGATTAAAAGACAATGTTACTTGAAAATTCCAGTCTGGCTATCGACTATTGAAGCATTTTCTTATCCTATAATATACAAAAAGGAACAAACAGTTAGATATGGTGAAATATTGAATGAAAAGGGTGAACTTAAATCTATACAAAAACTAGAGGAACAAGGTATAAAGATGAATTGGTTTTCATATGCGCAAATACATTCAAGGTATGATAAAGATTCTAAAACAGAAGGTTTCTATGATAAAATGACTGACTTAGATAAGATTTTGACAGGTACTGATGAAAAGGTGATTAAAAAATTGTATGGATATTTATTAGAAATTAAACTAGAAGAAGAACAAATTAAAGAAACTATGATTGCTTGAGGGAAGAATTTTGGATATGGGATTGATCTAGAGAAATGGCAAAAATTGTGGTCTCAAAATTATAAAATAACAACGTCAACAGCATATAAAGAAAATTGGTATAAGATGTTTTACAGGTGGCACTTTCCCCCGACAAGAATAGCAAGAATGTTCAAGAATAAATCCGAAAAATGTTGGAAATGTCATCAGATACCTGGCTCATGTTACCATATGTGGTGGACTTGTGCGGATGCTAAAAATACCGGACTAAAATCCACACGTGGTTGGAAAAAAATGACAAAAAAGCATATAGATTTGAAACCAGAAATATTTTTATTGGGAATTTTACCTGAAATATATAGTAAAGACTTGAAATACCTGATTGTAAATGTATTAACAGCGGCTAGGATTGTATTTGCTAAAAACTGGAAAAATGAGAAAATACCATCACAGGAGGAAATCATTAAGAAAATACTGGAATGTGCTGAAATGAGTAAATTGACATTTGAAATTAGAGAACAAGAGGATAAACAATTTTATAAAATTTGGGATCTATTCTATCAATGGTTAGACAATAAAATATAGCAATGAACTATGTAGACTTTTAGAAAATAATAAATATATAAAGATGTATTCTTTTCTTATTATATCTACAAAATGATTGTAGGATAGATCTGGGATGATAATATGAATTGTCAAAACTAAGTAAAATATGATCATTTTGGAAAACATGAATGAATAAAAGTATAGTCAAATGATTGATTAATAATGATATTAATGTATTTAATATATTGATTGAAAATATGAGATTATATACAATGTAATTATAATTGAAGACTATGAAATGGAAGCACAAAACAATTTGTAAACCAACCGGCAAAACTGTATGTACATATATGGAAGATGATGTGATGTTTTTATGTTTTGTTTGTTTATGTTTGTTTTAAAAACCAATTAAAAAAAAATTAAAAAAAATTTTTTGTTTGATCATGTAATCATGGAGATGCTGCAATGGTAGTAAATGTGAAAAATACTCGCAAGTCATTTTTTTCAATGCTTTGTAACTTTGAACGGTCACTAAATGAAAGATTGTAAGTCAAGGACTACTTGTATATCCATGTAGCTTGCTGGAAAACAAAGTGGCATCGTTTTCCAATTGCCTTTTTCCAGGATATTTCTTCAATTCCTCAATCGGTAGTCCTGCATCCTTATTGTCCCTGTGTACTTAATCATCAGGGTTGAAGTTTTGGAGATCAGCCCAGGTAGCATGGTGCTTGGGAAGAGGGTATCTTTCGTTCAGGTCAAACTCACGTAGCCTCTTCAAACCAGTGGTTTATTATTATTTCTTTCCAGAGTATTTTTTAACTGCCTAGTCTAGCCTACAACCCTAAAATCTCTGCATGGTCTCTCATCAAACCATAAACCAGATCAGGCCCTGCTTGTTTTCCGTGCCCAGGAAAAGTTGGCCAGTGCTAGCACTTGCTGAGATAGTATTGTTTAGTGAAAGTAAAGAATAAATAATAAAATTAATGGGAGAGCCAGATTTGTTTAGTCGTTAAGGCACCAGGATAGTCCCACCTTAGGCATGAAAGGCAGCTGGGTGACTTTGGGCCAATCCCCAGAAGACGATCACTTCTAGTCCTGTCTTAGGCAGGACCATAAAAATTGGCTGAGTGATTTTGGGCCAATCACCGAGTGATGGCCCTACCTTGTTGCAGTCCTACCTTAGGTGTGAAAGCCTGCTGGGTGACTTGAATCAGTGTTACTCTGTTGGGGAAACATAGGAGAAAGAAGGAAGGTAAGATACGGTTGCTATCTTGAATTAGTTATATAAACAATAAAAGAGGGATTTAAAAAAAAACCCTAAAAGAAATGCCACTTCCTTTTCGCTTGGTAGGCTGGATGTGGGTGAGTTTTTAGCACATTGCACAATGGAGCAAACATCCTAAACCTTCTTGGGGACCTCAGGGAAGTTTGGAATTTGGTAGCACTTTTGGGGAACCTCACCTTGAGTAGCCGCAAGCCTTGTGGCTGTCACAAAACAGCCGTTGCCCAGACACCAACCAAACTTTCAGTTGCAGATTTCCAACAGAAATGCGCCCCTTCTTTGCCCAAGAGAATGGGAACAAAATTAGGAACAGAGAGGAAGCTGGGGAGGCTCTAAGGAACAGGGTTCCATCATCTTAGGAACCCAAATAATAATATACTTGTAAATTATGTACAAGTAACAATACCTTGTTTACAATCAAATGGGTTTGCTGTCCTCCTGCAGATACAGGTAATTCTTGACTTAAGGCCTCAGTGGATACCAGAATCTCCGTTACTAGGCAAACTACATGAGCTATGTCCAATTTTGCAATACTTTTTGCCACAGTTGTTAAATGGTTCACTGCAGTTGTTCAGTGAATCACATGGTCATTAAGTGAATCTGGTTTCCCCCACTGACTTTGGTTGTCAGAAGCTGCCTGGGAAGGCCACAAATAGTGATGATATTATTCTGCAGCTGTCATAGATACATGCCAGTTGCCAAGCACCTGAAATTTGATCATGTGACCCGTGGGAATATTGTGACAGTTGTAAGTGCGAGGACAAGTCCTAAGTCCCTTTTTTCAGCGCAGTTGTATAACTTCGAACGGTTGCTAAATGAATGATCATAAGTCAAGGACTACCTGTATATCAACTGGAATGTGGACCCATATTTTCCAACACCCACTAGCAAATGCTGCATCCCTTATGTTTATGGGAGTTGTAGTTCAATCTGTCTGGGATATCTTTGCAAAGCCTGGGCCACCTTTTAGCCAGGATTTGGTTCAACTTTTGTTTCTTATATATTAGCATTTCCCAGCCTGGATTGAATTCAGGTGGGTAGGTTTCAGTTCCCAGAATTCTTAGCAATGATGATGCTGGCTGGTGGAATTCTGGGAGTTAAAGTCCACACATGGGAAAATCTGTAAATGAAGGTTTTTGTGTTGGTGTCCTGTTGCTTCAGTTTAGGGTGGTTAAGAGAATAGTAACTGAAAGTTGATTTTCCTTTCTTTTTCCTCTTCGCTTTCAGAAAGAAATTCAAGCAATGAGTCAGTGCCACCATCCAAACATTGTCTCTTACTATACTTCTTTTGTGGTGAAAGATGAACTTTGGTTAGTGATGAAGCTCCTAAGTGGAGGTAAGATTTTTGTGAATTCTGCTGCTGTTTGCCTTGGTTTGTAACTATAAAAAGGGATTTTAAAATGCAGATCTATTTTTTTTACTTGTCAATAACAACACCTTTTCTAAAAAACCTAAGTAGAATATGTTTGCAGGCTGGTTCATTTTAAAGATTTTGATGACATGCAATTTATAGATCAAACCAAGAATAAGAAAAACATCCAGCCTATTAGGGCAAATACAAAAAGCATTCTCTCATCTAGATGTTTGATACATAAGAATATTAATTGGCTAAATGGAAATGTAGACACAGCTACCGTAATCCTCAATTTACAACCAATCAAAGTTATGACAAACCTCCCTGGGGGTATTTAGGGCCCAATTGAGAAGATCTGATGGCTGCCTCATGTGATCACATGTTGGATACCCAACAACAAATGGATTTATGTCCATTTGTAGTGCCCAACAGTTATATGATAGAATTTCATGACGGTTTGCTGAAAACCAATGTTTACTTCTGTTTTTCAGCAAATCTGGCCAGTAACAAACCATGGGTTGATTTAATGGCTGCAGAATTCACTTAACAATTGGGGCAACTACTTTAAATAGTTTTTATTCTCTTAAAGGCAGCTGCAGCAAAGGTAATGAAAATAAATGGGTCATGCGGGAACCCCAATTTATGACAAACACCATCATAAATAGAGGACTGCCTGTAAAATTAACCTAAATTGCTGTGTGAATCAAGCTGAATTTAGGGGATAGGTGGAAATTTATTTGCAGAAGTCTCTATGAACTAGCAAAATGACCTCATTTTTTATTTTCATAAAGGCTGTTAAAATAGAGTTAAAATGGATTCTGAGTTTCAGACTTTTGATAAAAATGTTATGGTTTATTCATGCGTGGTTTGGGCATTGTTCTTTGATAATTGCTTTTTTTCCTAAGCGTAGGCTTCAGAAGTCCTTAGAGAGGGCAGCAGAATTCAAATATAACAAGTAAATGGATAAATAATAGGGTATATGTGTAGTTGTCACAATTTCTTCTAATCTATGTGGAGCACTGTGCTTTGAGAGTGGGATGAGAATCTTCCTGAGAATTGAACAGCGGGGAAAACATTGAAACATTAATGTTCTAAAACAACTTTAAAACGATCCACAGGCTTGGAGACCATTAGACTAGTAACATACTTTGTAGTTAATATACCAAATTGAATCGGAAAATATACAGTTAGTCTTTGACTTACCACAGTTCTTTTAGTGACAGTTTAGTGACAAGTTATAACGGCACTGAAAAAAGTGACTTAGGACTATTTTCCACACTTATGACCTTTGCAGCATCCCCATGGTCATGTGATCAAAATTCAGCCGCTTGCCAGCTGAGTCATATTTATTTGTGAATGAATAAATGATGAACGTGAATGAATAAATATTCATATTGGTATTTATTTATTTCCCGGGATCATGTAATCCCCTTTTGCAGCCTTCTGACAAGCAAAGTCAATGGGAAAGCCAGATTAACTGTATTAATTTAACAACTGCAGTGATTCACTTAACAAATATGGCAAGAACATGTAAAAAATGTGGCAAAACTGACAATAAATTTCTCACTTTGCAACATAAATGTTGGGCTCAATTGTGATCATATGTTGAGGACCGTGATTCATTTTCTCCTGACTGTGTCTTTAGATAAAACTATTTTCCCTAGATACCCGTTTTCTTTGCCTTTTGATTTATCAGGCACCCTGAAGCTGTTTTGGAATGGCCGTTAAGAGGCAACTGGACTTTCTTTGTTTTTCAGTCAGTCAGAACTGAAGAAGCTTCTTGGATAAGAAGCGAAATGTCTTCAAGGAAAAACAAAGAAAGTCCAGTTGCCTTTTGAAAAAGCACCATTGGGACAACCGTGACCTGGATCTCCATAGACATGTCTTGGAATGGAATAGCTTCCCCTCTCTCTGCTACTTTTCCTTGTTTCATCTTGTAATCATAGGTTGATTTTCCAGGTATCTCCTTAATTACTCTCTATAATATTGGTAGCCTTTGCAACATAGTTAGGTAATCCATAACTTACAACCATTTGTTTAGTGACCATTCAAAGTTAACAATGGCACTGAAAAAAGCAACTTATGACTGTTTTTCACAATTACAGCCATTGCAGCATCCCCATGGTCACATGATCAAAATTTGGCCATTTGGCAACTGGAGTGTATTTACAACAATTGCAGTGTTCCCAGGGTCACGTGATCCCCTTTTGTAACCACCTGGCAAGCAAAGTTGATGGGGAAGCCAGATTCACTTAGCAATCGGGTTACTAACTTCACAACTGCAGTGATTCACTTAATAACTGTGGCAAGAAAAATGGCGGAGTGGGGCAAAACTGGCTTAGCAACTGTGGTACTTAGCTAAAAAATGCTTTTTCAAAAGACAACTGGACTGGTTTTTTTGTTTGTTTGTTTGTTTAGCAACAGAAGTGTTGGGCTCAACTGTGTTTATAAGTCAAGGATTACGTGCATTGTCGAAAAAAGGAACGAAAGCTCCACTTTTAACATGGGAAATTGCGCAGCGCTAATCCCTGAATTGTTTTTCTTTAAAAAAAAAACCTGAACAACTCTATAATCCCCGTGTTAAATACAAACCTTGCAACAGATACATCTCCTGATAAGGAAGCTTGGTAGAAACTGGTTCTTTGCAGAAACTGGAATCTTTGTAGAAAGAATTTACTCATATCTTGTTCACCAGGAAACATTTGACATACATGAGTTGCCATGTGGAAAAGTAACAGAAGGACTTTAGGATAAAAATGACAATTTTTGTGCAAAATAAGCGCAAGGGAAGACAGCTTGGGAAGAAATTGTACCAGAGCAATGTAGGTAATTCTCGTGTTACGACTGTAATGGAGAGTGGTCAATACGTCCTATGTTGTGATAGTCATAAAGTGGGTTGGATCAGATTTTACCATCTTTCCTGCATTAATTGTTAAGCAAACCCATGGTTCGTGATAGGCTGGTTTTGCCAAAAACTGAAAGTAAATGCCATTCCCCCCCCCCCCCCCCCCCAAAACTATCTTAAAATGTGGTCATGTGAAACAACCATAACTGAAGCACCCGAATGCTGTCTAAGGAATTCTGGGACTTGAAGTCCACATATCTTAAAGTTACCAAGTTTGAGAAACTCTGTTCTAGTCTAGGCCACAAAACACTTTCTCTGATTTGGGGGTAAGACTGCCAGGAGAACCGGCCATTGTGAACTAAAATCTATCATTTGTGGCTTTGCTGATTTGGTAAATTGCGATGTAAGCCACAATTAAAGAACTGATCACTCACGGCAAGGCATGAACGAAGCCAAATTAGATTAATGGTTGTGCAGAAAAAGCAGAAGAAAGAATATACATAAAAACCTAAGCTATTTGAGACACTATGAAGCCAACTCAATGCGTGCCAAGCTGTATGAGAGTGTTAATGTTTTGATAAATTTCTTCATTGAATTTTTTTTAAAAAGGAAAATAAATGACTGCTGTCAGAGAGAAGGAGGAGGAGGGCAAAAATTGGCTGCTGACTTATAAAACATCTCCATTAGAAACAAAGCTGTTATTTACTGTAGGACTCTCCCTAAATTCCTACAATGAAAAAAAATCAGCAAATTAGCTGTTCTCTCATTTCTGAGTCTCAAAAATCCATCTCTTAAGTCAACCCCTGCTTCCCAAACTGGACTTCCCTTCCATTTCCAGAAGCAACCTGGTTAACACAACGCTTTGTACATTTTAAAAAAAAAAACCAGATATATTCATCTTTAATTTCATTTAGGCCACATTTTCATTCCTTGAGTCAAAATATTTCACCTTTCCTGCCCCACGAAAGACAATTTTCAGCAACATACTTGGCTGAGTCAAGGAAGAGACACACCTTGAACACCCTGTGGAAAAAAACTAATAGTAGTTTAACCAGATAAGATAAAAATGCACCTCGGCAAAGATACGGGGTGAGATCACAGGGCTGAGAGTCTAGCTTGGTTTAGAATTCCAGCAACTTCCCCTTGTTACAAACTCATTCGCTGGCTTGCAATCTCAGTGTTTCTATATTTAAAAGTTGCTTCAGTGGCACTGAAGATGCTCAGTTACAGAGAAGATGTCTAAAAGGACTTGGGAGACCACAGAAATAACTCTCTTCTAGATAAATAAGTGCCTGAAGAATGTGCTTTAATACAG